AACTGCTGCTGGTGCTTACACCACATGCTGCTGTTTACTGCCGGGGTTTTAGAAGGGTAAAGTTTTAGCTGGCAGTGCCTGCCATAGATGCTCTTACTCTTCATCCATCCCACAAAAACAAGCTCCTATTCCTGGTGTACAGAGAGTGCCTGTCACTGCCTGTTGCCTCCGTTCCTACTTACTCAGAGACCAGAAAGTGATATGATACAATATTATGTTTATATTTGTAAAGTCTGCTTCTTTAGTGATTGCATTTTATATACTAATGAATTCCAGTGAAAATTCTTAAATCCACCCCTAAGGAAAGCCATATACAAGTAAACATTGCTATCATCTGCCCAAATGAAGGAAGAGCGACAGGCAGGTCTGGCAGGCGTGAGGGGCTAGCATTAACAGGGAGGAGCAGGAATGAGGCTGGTTTTCATGCAGCAGGCTCCCCTGAAATCCCTTCCCTATGTGCATCTCAACACTCCCCTTTCGAAGCAAACCTCTTCCCTATGGCAGAAAAAGCATCTCTTCCTAAAGCCTTGGATAACCTTGCGATGTCTGCTGGGATTGACTTTCCAAGCAGGTCTTATTTCTTCCTTCTCCTTATGAAAAAATTGCACTTGTTCAAGGCTAAATCTATACATACACAGTGAACTGATGCTTTCTCCTCACAGCCAACTCACCTTTCCACAGGGCTGCCAGCCTGATGTGGGATGCCAGCCTGCCTGCATCCCAAAAGCAAGCTGAAGGCAAGGCTGCCTCGATGGTGTCATCAGTTGTGCTGCCTGTTACCACTCACCTCGTGGTTTATCATTCATTTCCCATTCCAGCAGCAATGCCTCTGCCATAACCCCCCTGGGCTGCCTTACGCTTCTACTTTACAGTTGCAGCTGAGGTCCCACTGGCAGTCTGACACCCAGCTGGAAAACAGATGATCCTGGAATGTCTCTGCTAGCAAGAGCCAGACCTCGATTTTTCTCAGGGTATTTGCTCTTGGCTCACACTGCAAAACATGGGGTTCAGCTGAGACCTGGCAGGCTCCAACCAGCAAGAAGCACCTTTTCATCCCAGTGCTGTGTGGGGCAGTGGTTCTGGCAAAGTGACTCATATTTTTGGGACAACAGTGGGAAGCAAAGGGTTCCCTTGCAGCACTTGTGTGTTCCAGCTGTGCTGGGTGCAAGGGGCAGGAGGAGCTGGTAAAGCAATTTTTCTGACCGAAGCCATGGAAGAGTGTATATTTTTATTTTTCAATTATTAAAATTATTAAGCAAAATGTAAATAATAAAATTTCCGTTGTCTGATGGTCTATTTTCCTAATGATTTTCTCAGAACTTTTTATGGGTGTGATAAGTAGTTTTAATGCTTGTTCAGTAATCAAATCTATTTTTTGTCTTCTTTATCTTTGTTTTGGTTTGATTTTTTTTTTTTACCTTTTTTACCAAGTTCATGTAGCAATTAAAGCCTTAAGTTTTAAAATGTGAACCTTGCCCCTAGAGCACAGCGCAGGTATGTGGCTACTTCTAATCCTGGCAACACTGTAAATACTTCTCCCCTCAGCAATGCTTTTGGAATTTGGAAATTCACTTGTAATTATCTGGTACAGCATTAAAACATATTTCTTAATATCCAAATAAATTATGCCTGTTGTTTGCCCTCATTTGCAAGCCTGCCTCTGTTTTCCACCTTGTTCCAATGTCTGCAGGAGAGCACTTGCTCAGGGAGCTGCTTGTGGTAACTCTACCCTGTCCTTTGGATTTGCTGAGACAGGTGGGACACTACGTAATTTGGGGAATTTTTTGCAGACTGGGTCTGTGCTCAGTGCTGAGCAGGTTGTTGCTGCTGACAGTGAGGTGACTCAGCCCCTGTCTTGTACTACCAGTTCAGATATTAGGTGGGACTTCAAGAACCTGCGAAGGTAACTTAAAATTGACCCAGGTGATATAAATTTTGCTCACATTGCAAAGTTTGGTTGCCTCAGGAAATTAGGACTGTGTAGTGAATGAAGAGTACTGCTCGTGGGATTTTCCAGGATAGGGCCTGCAGGACAACACAGAAACCACCAGGCAGGAGGAGGCTTGTCTGCTGCGTGCCTCTGCCTCCATCACTTGTGTCCTGTGGCAGATGAGCCAGTGGCCCCCAAACACTGCTTTGCTTCTTCCTTTAGTCCTGGTCCTTGCCACAGCTTCCTTTGTGCTAAGCAAGGCAGGGCAGGGGCCTGGTGAAAAATCTTTCAGGAGGATGTCATCAGGTACGTTTCTGAGGTGGGATGTGCCCTGGCCCCTTTTTAATCCTTGTGGCAAAGGCCAGGCAGTTCTGTGGCTCTCAGTGGGAGGGCAGGGTGAGGGCACAGGGTATGGGGTGTTGAAACTTAGTGAACTGGCATTCTAATAGTGCAGGTTTTTGCTGCTGTGCCTGAACCACTGGCAGAAATGTTCCCATTACCACATGCTGCAGCGTGACACCTTAATAGAAACATTGCAGACCACAATCCCTGATCTGGGAGCCCCAGTCATATTGGAAGCACCTGTAGAAAATGAATCCATGAGAACTTAATAGCATGTGAGCCACAGTTAGGAAACCCAGCTGACCAGCCCTGCTGCCCGGAGGCTAAGTGACTGTCTAGCTTCAGTCTTTACCTTAATGGGGTAACCCTTTAATGAAGTTTTGCTTTGTTTCCCATTGATCTTGGTTTTCGTGCGCAGAGAAAACATGGCAGGACGTGCTGGTCTGTATGCGTCAGCCCATAGGTGCACTGGCGCATGTTTTTATTAATCAGGAATATATTACACTTATCTGTACATCGTAACTGAAATTATACAAACTCTTCCTGTAATCATTAGCCACGTAGTAAACAGGACCACAGAACTCCTGCTGTGCGGGAAACTGTACAGAGGCTCCTCAGCGTGTCCATGGGACACAACCACCATCAGTGCAGAGACATAAAATACCTGATTTTGCACTTGATAGTTTTCCTTTCCTCCCCCTGCCCACCACCATCACAAGCCTTGGCTACTGTGCATCGACTGAGTTAACACATCTCTGCCGGCAGCTGCAGGAGGTCCCATCCCAACAGGGCCAAATGGTATCTTTCCACAGAAAATTCTGTGGCCCCCACTTGCTGCTGGCTCTCCTGCCATCCCATGGCTGATACCTGCTCCCAGTGCCTGTCTCTGGAGCCCCTCCAGAGCAGCTGTAGGCTAGTTTTATTGCCGCTGCACCCTTCTGCATTGGTTAAAGATTAACCAAATCAAACAGCTTCTTTTTAAAGACAGAGGCGATAAAACCCTTTCCTGCTTAGTGCTGGCTATGTTCCCTCTCCTGCCAAAGGCTGCCCTACACTATCAATTGGGAAAGTCCCTGCAGTGGCCATGGCATTTGGGAAGCCTCCAGCCTTGCAAAAGCAATTACTTCCCACTGCTTGCCTTTGAGCAGGGACAGCCAGTGAGCACAGACTAGAGATATGGCCCCTACACCACTGGGAATGCCAAGCTCACATTTCATGGTCACACCTCCCTGGCATGAGCAGGGGTTACAGGCTTGGCCATGCACTCGGGGGTGTTCTGCCCCACTCAGGAATGACTGCCCCACTCAGGGGCTGTTCCCTTCCTCCCACTGTCTGAGTGACCTGGGTTGATGTTTCACACCTACTCCAGCACGTAGAGGCAAAGAGGGACAGGACAGGAAAAACAGGAAAAAAGAATAACCTTTTTTTTGGGAAAAAAAGTCTGTTTCTGGGCTCGCACCAGGAGGAGCCACCCTTAACACCCCCCACAGGGATGGGTTGCTGGGTCCCTTCTGGTCAGGCAAAATTTCCTACAGCTTTGCTAGTGATTGGGCAGACCCCAGAGGCCGTGCCAAGGAAGAATCCAGTGAGAGGCAGGATTGGGAGGCAAAAATTCTATGGGAAAGGGATTGGCAATGATACGGAATGATGGTGGAGCTGGGTTCAACACCAGTTTTCCCACCGTAAAAGCCCCACTCCCAATTCACTGCTGGAAGCATCTCTTGCTATGACTTTAAAACAACAAAGTGATAAAGCACCAGAAAAAGAGAGAAAGAATTAATAAATTAAAACAGGCTCAGCCAGACTGTCCTGGGTCAATAGTACGCTTTAGTGTGTTTAGCATAGAAAAGTTTAGAGGAGCATCATGGTAACATCTCTGGTTGTATCAGCTCAACCAATTTACAGAGGGTAAAAAGGAGGATTCTAGAAACTATCAACAAGTCTGACTAATCTGGTGGCCTTCTGCAATGGTGTGACTGCACTGGTGGATGAGGGATGAGCAACTGATGTAATTTACCTGGACTCCGTAAGGTCTTTGACAGTTCCACAGAACATCCTTGTCACCAAACTGGGGAGATATGGGTTTGATGGATGGAAGTTAGATACGGAATTGGCTGGATGGTTGCATTGATTTCCATGTCCAAATGGAAATCAGTAACAAGTTGTGGCCCTTAGGGGTCCATATTGGAACCAGAACTGTTTAATATCTTCATCAATGACATGGACAGTGGGATCAGGTATACCCTCAAAAAGTTTGCAGATGACACCAAGCTGAGTGATACAGTTGATACACTGGAGGAAAAGGATGCCATCCAGAGGGACCTTGACAGGCTTGAGAGGTGGGTCCATGTGAAAATCATGAGGTTCAGTAAGGCCAAGTGCAATGTGCTGCACCTGGATCAGGGCAACCCCTGGTATCAATACAGGCTGGGGGATGAATGGATGGAGAGCAACCCTGAGGAGAAAGACTTGGAGACACTGGTGGATGAGAGGCTGGACGTGAGTGTTCAAAGCCCAGGAAGCCAATCATATCCTGGGCTGCATCAGAAGAACATGACCAGCAGGTCGAGGGAGGGAATTCTTCCCCTCTACTCCACTCTGCAGTGCTGCATCCAGCTCTGGGTTCCTCAGCACAGGAAGGACATCGACCTGCTGGAACAGGTCTAGAGTAGGGCCACAAAGATGACCAGAGGGCTGGAGCATCTGTCCTATGAAGACAGGCTGAAAGAGCTGGGATTGTTCAGCTTGGAGAAGATAAGGCTCCAGGGAGATCTTGTAACACCTTCCAGTATCTAAAGGGGGCCTGTAAGAAAGATGGGGATGGACTTTTTACCAGGGCCTCTAGTGACAGTACAAGGGACAACAGTTTTAGAATGGAAAAGGATAGGTTCAGATTGGACATAAGGAAGAGATTTTCTTACAATGACAGTGGTAGGACACTGGAACAGGTTGTCCAGAGAAGTTGTGGATGTCCCCTGTCTCTGGTACTGTTCAAGGCCAGGTTGGATGAAGCTCTGAGCAACCTGATCTAGTGGAAGATGTCCCTGTGCATGGCAGGGTGCTTGGACCAGATGATCTTAAAGATTCCTTTTAACTCAAATCATCCTATGCTCCTATGATCTCATTTTACCTGAATTGTATTGATGGGATGAAAACGACAATGCAGTAGGTATTGCAGGTGTCTGTGCAGTTATTAAGTATCAAAGTGATTAAAGTTGTACTTGGCAAGAAGGGGCTTTGTGTGCATGTATGTGCTAGGTATCTATCTTACTTTCAGGTTGTATTTGCTGGACACACTAAAATCTAGTAATGCATTTCAACAGCAGTAGCTGGTGTGGCATGATCTATTCTAACAAGATGCTCAATTTACTCAGTATCACAGTATCATGCAAAAGCTGCTACAAAAATAAATTTCTCTAAAAAGGAGAAAAAAAAATCACGTTTTTTTTTTAACACTGTGGAACAGGCCACAGGTGCTTTGATGGTGGTTGAAGCTGTATCTAAGCTGCAGTCTGTGAATCCTGAGTATTTCCCAGGAAAGCTGAAGCATAGCTCCCACTCAAGCAGTTTGCAGGGCAGTGCAATCTCATCCCTGTAGGTGCAGGGCGTGCTGGTGCCACACACACCCAGGTGGGAGAGCCACCCTCCCCACAGCACTCCTGCACCCCGGGGGTTTGCTTCATATACTGTCTCCCTGCTTACTTTGACCCCAGTGCACAAAGCAGGCCTGCATGCAGGCTCTTTGCCCTAAGCTGGGTAGAAAAGCATCCCACAGATCTCTTTGTTTTTGAAATTATGCTCAGGGATATTTTTTTCTTGCTAGAAGTGCCCATGTGGGCCCTGCAGACTGTCCCACCACAGCCACTTCTCAGCCCCACCACTCTCTCGGGTGGGGGGTCACTCGAAGCCTGGGTGAACATTTTTGCTTCTAGATGGGAAAGTTAAAGTTAGTTTAGCCACTCATTTCCATGAATCTTCAAAGTGCTCTGTAACTTTAGGTAAGCTTTAGCAATGTGAAATAATATAGATATGTGGAAGGAAAGTAATTCTGACCTCATTTGCGCCTGTGTAGTTGGCTGTGCTCTATTTGGCATGTCAGGTGGAAGGAGGCTAGAGCCCTAGCCCTAGCTAGAGCCCAGTGTCTCATCCTAATATTGGAAACCTGTCACCCAGCACAGGTCAAGGATGAACAACTTTTTTTCTCCTTCTTGCTTATGGGACTTGAAATAAAGCAAAATGGACAGGAACCTACAACCAGAGATTCTGATTGTATCCAAATCAGGCCAAGGTAAATCAAGATAAGATCTGACTAGGATTTAAATACACTAAAATTGAACAACGCTAACCAGTAACCTCTACCAAATTTGCTAAACCCCTCAGGTTTCTCATCTCTAGCCTATCTCCACTTACAATATCAATGGTAAGAGTTAAAAAGCAGTGGATGGTATGCATATCTTATCTGGTATTCAAAGCAAAGGTGATGGTTTCAAAGGCAGTACTGTCTCAGAATTTCAAATTCGCTGGTGTTCATGTTACATAGAGTACCACTTGGTGGTCATTTGGAAGGCGCTTCTACTTCTGTGTAACTTTCTTCTAGTTTGGGTATAAATATTCCTGGGAGTCTAAACAGAAATGCATTTTGTTTAGATACAAGTCTTAGGCACGAGTTAGAAAACTGCTGACTGTAATGAAAATATATCAGCACTTAGTAGTATCCAATAATATAAAAAATGCAATTCAGAACATCTGCAACTACATATATATGTGTGTGCGTCTATATATAGGTATAAAGGTACAATACGTACATGTATATAAACACAGACACATATACAGAAATATTCACAACTTGAACTGTATTTGTAACTAACCTGAAATACTGCAGCAAAAGTTCATTCTGATGAACCATTATTAGAGCATTTTCCAACTTTTGGCTCTAACCATACTTATAATGTTCACACATCAAACTAAATTTTTTGCTATCCTAACTTTCTGCTGTTCTAGCTTTTTGCTATCTTTTTTGCTACCTTAATCAACATGTCAGAACCAAGAATTTCTATATGGGGACTGTAAGAGTACCCTGCCTAGTGTAAAGCTATGCAGCTACCAAACATGCTTGCAGCCATGAACGCTGGGCGCCTGTTGATGGTAATACTTCCTTGGAGGGTAACATTTTGCAGATTGGAAATGCATAAAAGGCAGAGAACCTCCGGCACACAGCTGCTGATTCATCGCCGCAAGGTTCTGACTTTTGCTGGAGAGGAGTTCTCTGATGAGCAGTGATAAAAAGAAGTGGACGATGCAGGTGGGAGTTTGACAGGGCTTACGGCATCTCCCTCCTGCAGCTTCCAGAGGAGCTCTTCGTTAGTCCTGCTGAGCTTCTTCTTCTCCTCCACTTCTTTCTCAACATACTCTTGAAGATTAGCATTCTCCTCTGACAATTGCCTGGAGAGAGAAGCAGGACAACATGTAAGGCACACCAGGGCAAAGATGGTTGCATCAATGCAGCCAGCACTGCACAAGAGGCAGGACCAGGCAGAACACTGAACAGCAAGTCACATCCCATCCCATCGCAACCCCCTGTCCCTGAGCTGCTGAAGCTGGGGCACAGCTGTCACCAGATCTGTTCACTTCTGGGTGAGAAAGGCTTCTCCACAAGTCACAGCTTTCTCACACTGTCTGATTCTGCCTCCAGATGCACCTGTGTCTTTGCTCTATACCTCTTTGAGGCATCTCAGCTGCCAAAGCTTAGGTGGGATGAACCCCAGCCTTCTTCTCTGGCCTTGTGCTACTGCCAGCATCATGTATGGCATGCAAAAGTGCCAAGAACTTTGTGCACGGACCATGCACTCCAGACACTTTAAAAATGGCCATTTTCCCATATAGACAAGAGAGTAAAAACTAGTAAGTCCTAAAAGAAGAATCTAGCATATTTATTTATTTATTTGTATATTTGAAACTGCTGGCCTTCCCTGGGAAGCTGTGGGTTTGTGAATAGGGTGGAGCCGAAGAGAACACCATCAGTCCCACGGTGGGCAACTAGGACTGCAGAGCCTGCTCAGCCTTGGTCACTGGTGTCTGGAGAGGACTTCAGAGCTGGCCCCAGGTACTTGGCTTGGGGATGTAGGTAGGCACAGCGGTTTCAGATGTCCTCTTGCATCGGTATTTGCTTGTGGTCGAGTTGGTTTTGGCTCCCTGAGAATGAATCCAATCTAAGTGTTTTCTCCCCACTTTCAGCACATGGAGGAAGCAGGTGCATAGCATGGGGTTGTGGTGTCTGCACAGCCTGTTCACTGGCACAGTAGTTTCTACCTGGGAATGGGCCAATAAATCCCCCGCCCTTGTTTCTCAGCTTAGATGCCAAAGCTGTGCAATGAGTGAGAGCACTTGTGGAGTGTCAGAGCGAGTGCAAAGAGGAGAGAAAGCAGTTGCACCCATTGACTTTTTCAGCTCACTGCTACTGAATACAAAGGAAAAGGATTCTGCCCTTTCAGTGCTCCCAGCTTTAGCTTAGTCCTGATGCAGGATGCAGATCAGCTTCAAGGCCTTCCCTCTCCTTTGTAAAAGCTCATGAGGCTATAGGTCCTTCTCCAGCTCCTTCCTCCTTGGTCCCAAAAAAGCCACTATTCCTGACTGCAATGCTAGAGAAACTTGACCAGCAAGGACCAGGGAGGTGTTCTCCCAGAATGTCCAGTAACTTAATGGCTTCTGGGGAGCTGGGCCATGGGCACCAGCCTTAGTGAGTTTGCACCAGGTGACTGGTTTTGAAACAAATGAAGCAGTGCAAGTAGAATATGGGACCTGATTAATATGTGTTTTGGGCATGTGCTGACAACAGCTACATACTGAAGGATGCATGAAGGAGCACCAAGATTCTGCAGCTCCATTATGCTTGGGCAGGAGCCAGGTCCTGATGTGATCAACCTGGGGCAGCTCTGGGCAGGTACCTAACCTGATTTACAGGCAATTTAAGATTTTACAGAAATGAACAGGGAGGAACCTAACCTTCCCCCAGGTGTTTCCAGCATTCAGCAGCAGCTGGGTGTGGATTTTGGATGCACACAAAAAATTCTGTACAACTCCTTTTCTGGGTGTAGCCTGAAGCTTATAGCAGATGTCATGGGCTGCTGGTGCACTCAACAAAAGCCTCTGAGATGGTGGGGTTGGCATTTCTGATACTGTTTAAAAAACATTTTTTAAGAATTTCTGCTTTTTTTGTCTTGATTCCTACAGGAGTGTGGTTCAGGTAACCAAGAATATGTCTGTTTCTTCTCCTAGTCCCTGAAAGTTCTGAATCATGGAGCAGCAGCTAGCAGAGTTGAAGGATTAAAACACAAGTTGACAGAAGTTTTCAGAAAGCTGCTTGCCTGGTAGAGAAGAAAAATCTTATCATGGTCCTAATGGGGAACCAGCTATAGCATGAGCTCACAGTCTAACAGTCATGAGAAAGTCCACATGGGACCTCACCCTGAAGAAGTAACTCTTGCGACACACAGAATTACTTTCTTTTGTAATATGTTGAACAAGGCAGCCATAAAAATTATATGCAAAGCCCCAGTACATTCGTTTCAGACAGCATTTGCTGAGGAAAAAATAAAAAAGCACATGCTCTCCCTGCCTTTGTATGTCTCTTAGTGTGTAACTGGCTGGTAAAGCTCATCTGGGTACTGGGCTAGTCACAACAGCAGAGACCGCAGAGCATAGTGAGGGACTCAGCTCCCTCCTCTGCTAAAGGCACTACTTGGACAGGAGCAGACACGATCAGATGTGTTTCTCTCCCAGTCTCCCAACTATTTAAGCAGCTGTAACAAATCACAGCCATAAACCAACAGGGATCTGCAGGGGAACACCAACATGACAGAGATGTGGGAGAAGGTGCTTGAGTCGTGCCCTCGATCCAAAAGGTCCAGAGGTCAGTGGGTTCCTGGGCTATGCCAACAGAGACCAGATCTGGTCATGTTCAGCTTTGGCTGCTGGAAATTACCATTCTTCAAACAACCCCAGTCCAATGGACTGAAAAAATGTTGGTTGATTGGAGGGAGGATCTGAAATGTTGGGAAATCAGATGATTTTTTCAAGTGTTTGGGGAAGTTCCAGCAGAGGCTCTGTGGAACTCCTGCATCCAAAACTGGGGCATAGTAAGGCTCTTGTCCCTCCCTTTGTACCTGCTTGTGGCTATAATTGAAAATATCTCTGTGGTGCACCCCTCAGGTCCCCAACACCTCTGGAACACCCCTCCTGACCATGCTGCAAAGACTGGCTTTTCTCTGGCTCCCCTCCCTCCTCTTGCTGTTGTTGGGCTGTCACAGCTGCTTGGGCACCTAAACTGCAGACTGGCAGAAATAGCTCCAATCCGTGTTGTTCCTCAGCGAGGGCAGCTCCCAGAGCTCATTCATGCTGTACTTCCCAGGCACTGCCAGTACAACAGAAATGAGTATCTGTGTGGCTACTGCTGCCAGGAAAATGCAAGTCTTAATAACTCCAAATTTAAAGCCCTGGCTGTCCCTATAGCTGCCCCATAGATATTCCCAAATAGTTACTGCTGAAAATTACTGTCCTCAAAGATGACTTTGAAGACTGACCTCAAATTCAGAATTTCTCCCAAAAGATGTTCTTGAAACCAGTACCTACACAGTTACAGGCAAGAAACAAAGTACTGCAGCTGGATGCTGGCAGGGAGTGGAGGGAGAATGCTATTCACTCAGCCAGAGACAGGTAGCTGCAATGCAGAGATGCCAAGCACTGAACCAGGAACTCTGGCTGCTGTCAGGCGTGGAGGGAGACTGCCACTTCCAGGCCACAATTCATTCAGCCCTAAAGCAGGTATCTCAAACTGGTCTCATGAACCAGACCTTAAAAATTCCTAGTTTTCCTCCCCAAGCACAGAAACACTGTAGACACCCATCTCAGACAGTGACGTGTATTACAGGTATTTACAATCAGGTGAGAGGAAACATAATCCTCACCCCATGGGAATGTTAGTGCACGTAATGCTGCCTTTTAAAAATATCTACATGCCAGAGATAATTTCAAAAGGCTGAATCATTAACAAACGAAGCACGTGAAAGACAAAAACTAAAATCAGAGATGAGACGCTGACGGTTTAAAAGTCAGCTAAAAAATAAATTTAATTTTTGGCCAGTGGCATTACTTCTGACTGCAATGACAGCTTAGGCAGCTGCAGGGTTGGTACAAGACCAGCACTAGTGTCTCCCTCTGGCACCCTTTCTGTCTGGCTCCAGCTGTGGTCTCTGGCCTTAAAGCAGATTATGAACTCTGGGACAGGGACTGTCCTACCCTTCTCTTTATATACCACCTAGCTAACACAAGGAGCCTTGACACCTTCGCCAAGTTGTGACAAAGGTGCAAAGAGGCAGTGCCAATGAACAAAACCATCTATGGATAATCCTGCCTGGGTGACAGTGGCATTGGTAGCATGTCTTTCTGAAAACATCCCATTCCCATCCTCATTCCCACTGATTAATGGGTTTCAGGGCGCTGATACTGAGATCAGAACCACCAGCAAGTTCACTCTCAGCAGCATGTCAAAATCATGAAAATACACAGACAGATGTGTGGCCTTCCTTATATTAAAGTAAGCGAACCCCAATATAAAAAGGATTTTTTAATAGAACAAGCAGAAAAGGACACCAATACACTTTCAGGGTGAGGTAAGTTTTTCCCCTTCTGAAATAAGTGTCAGCCTTGTGCAATTACGATCTGGAGCCTTCTTTCAAGCTAAGACAGATTGCAAATATCAGCACAAACCTTGTTATGACAGTATTTTGCTCAATCCTGGCTCTGAGTTCTTCGTTCTGCTGTTGCAGCATGGTGATTTTTTCTTCCAGTTTTAAATTTTTTTCAACCTGCAACAAAAGAAGGTTTGTTAAGTCTGAAGCACACCCAACACCTGATCCAAGATAATTTGTTCTTTTTTTGTTCATAAACCAACTTCTAAAATTTGAGGATAGATGGAGGTGGTCATCTTGACTGCAGCTAAGACTTGGAGGTCTGACTCACACCACCGCATCATACCGGTGAAGTAAGTGGGGTCATCAGCAGAGCATTGAGCAGGGGCAGAGCTGAACTAGCCTTTACTTCTAACTGAGGAGGAGGAGGGTCTTAGTTTTGTTCAGTGCAAATAAAGGTTTTTCTCAGTGGTGCCCCCCCAGTTTTCATCTCTCAAGGAGCCAGCATTATGAGCTGTTGGTCTTGGACAGGAAGCTGGTGGCACTTGGGGAACATGGGGATGCCCAGCATGGAAAGGACATTATGGCATAAGTGTCACATCATCCAACTCAACTAGTCTCATCAGACATAACAATCTGGCATTATGATTCTTCAGTTATGGGGAGGAACAACATCACCCAGCAGGGTAGAGGATGCCCAGCAGCAGCCTTAGACTGCTGCTGCGTTCATATGAGGAGGGTTGCCCTTTGGAGACTCTTCTCACTACTGCTAACAATGTCAGCTTGAATAACCAGCTTAAACTAGACATTTAACTTTAAGCTGTAATTAATTGAAATGAATCCTATCCCAAGCACAGGTAGCTTTTATTCAGGACAGTTCAAGGACAGAGTCTGAGGATATCAATAGCTGTGTATTAGAACATCAGTAAGATGTTTATAGGCATGTTCCACAGCCTCAGGTGCCCTGTTTTTCCCAAGCTTTGAATTTGACATACTTTATCACCTTAGTTCTTGGTTTTCCAGCAGTTTGAATTTTGCTGAATTCAACAACTTTGAAAGAAAATAAGATGGCACAGAGTAACCTTATCTCTATGTGAGCTCGGTTATTGAATTTCCCAACCTTTTATAAAGACCCAAAGTACTGTGCACTGGAGGTACCAATAACTCTCACTTAATGGGGGAGATGTCAGTTTTATGTAGTGTTTTCCAGTCTGTGCAGGTAATTGCAAAGGATACTCCTGGTTCTCAGATATTCTGGCCTGGCCCGGCGTATTTTGTTAGAGCAGAATGTGAATTCTGGCCCAGTTTTCTGGCTCTGAGAGAGGAATCACTGTCATGGGCACCCTCTCTGCTTCCTCAATAGTTTTCATAAGTAGTACCTATACCACCTTCATTTCCAGTCTCCCTTTCAGCAGCCAAGGAGCCAAGCCTGACCCTGTATTTGAATACCCTCCTGCTCCCTCATGAGGCACCTCTTCTTTCAGAGCATTTGGAGATGCCATGTAGATGTTCTGGTACTTACAAAGGTATACCTTTAAACAGAAAGCAGTTGTGCCTTTGGACCACAGTAGACACAGTGTTTTACTGTGATAAAGGGCAAGAATAGGACTGTGTGCTTGTATGTGGTTAATCAGCAAAAGCGGTTGAATAACCAGGAACTATTATAGGTTGTTGTTTGGGACTCTTTTTTTCCTAGTATAACCCTACAGAGCATGTTTTCAAATGCTGGTTTAGCTCCAGGAGCAGCACATTGGAAGGAGCACAGATAACAAGCCTCAGTTGTAAAGAGGCACTTTTCTCTACATCTACTTACTCAAGCATCTGTTCAGCAAAATAATCATCAGAGTTCTCAAATTTCCCTGTAAATGGAAGCAAATCTTGCTGAATGCTGTGCTGAGCCAGCTGCCCCAGCTCCTAGCTGAGGTATTGCCTCATCCTGTCACCATACTGCACTTTTACTGTCACTGCAGGTTATTCACAAAATGAATCCCCTTTCCAATAAAAAATGTAATTGATAGTGAACTGGGGAGTTCTTTGTTAGGGATTCCCACAAGTAAAGAATAAGAAAACAGTGTAGGCTGCAGAAAAGCATTACTGGTGGGTTGGAGAGACCTTTCCAAGAGTAAGCCTTGCTAGGGGTTACTTGCTAAATATTGCTAATTCATACATAGCTCCCTAAATGTCCTCAGGAGCAGCAGCAAGAAACACCATGGCTCCATCTTCCCCATGTGCCCTCCCCAACTCTAAATGGCTACCTGACTCCCGTAGGGGCTTATGATGCAGGCCTTGGGCTACCACAAAGTTTCCCTTCCTCCATTCTTCCTGCACCACTCACCTCATTGTCTAACCTAACAGGTTGAGCAAGTATTGACTGAAAAACCCAAAATAGATCAGTGATGTGAAAATCTTTGTCTTGCCCCAATCTCCTGTGTTCACTCACCTCTTCTAAGTTCGTCTGCTGTAACCAAACTTTTACTTTATTATCTCTGTAGGAAAAATGACAATGACAACTCACCTGTTTTTCCAGTTCCATAATCATCTTCTCCTGTTGGTGAATCTGGAAGTTCTTCATTTCAAGAACATGTTTTAAGCTCTTCAAATCTTTTTCTAAGTGCAGATATGGAGCTCGCACAATCTAAGAAATATGTCAGTGATTTGGATATGTCAGCCATAAATGCATCTTCAGCTATAAAAGAAAAATTCCTTTGTGTACACACTGGTTTAGGAGTCTCAGTGGTGTGAAAACCACCTGGACTTCTGGTCTTCTGCAGCACACCAGAACACTATGATATTGTCTCCCTTGACACCTCTTTGGCTGGATAGCCAACAATGTCCTTTTTTTGACCAGCCTTATGGAGAGAAGGATGGGATGCCAGCTTGTTCAGCAATCCCATTCCTAATCATAGTTTGGCAACCACATGAGGTGTTTTATGCTTGTGCAGGGATTTTGCCTTGGGAAAAGTACAAACATGAAACTGAGGAAACTGGACAAGTGGGGTGGAGGTGAAAACTACAGTGTTCTGTCTTGCCTGCACCAATGCATCATAGTACCTGTTAGCAAAGGTCAGATCTGGTGGGTAAAAGTTCCCCCTCTGCTCAAGAACTTCAGATGTAGATATGTAGGGGATACTAGTGTTCAGCTCATGGGCAATATTTGTGCTCTGAATTACACTGATGAAATACTGTCCCTGACTTTCACTGCTCTAGATTTTTCCCAGTGTAACTCACTCCAGTGAACTGCCTGGTGGAACAACACTGTGACACAGCAGAATTTGTTCTTGCACGTAAATTAAATACTGCAGTGGAGGCAGAAAAGGACTGATGCTACCTGTTTCCCATGGCCAAACCTGTTTTAGACATTTATGCTTCTTTTCTAAGGAGTTCTGTCACCTGAAAATTCACTGAGCCCCTTGCACACCCTACTATTTTCATTGTGTCCTTTCTGCCATGTTGATACAGCTGCCCATGAAGCTGTGCTATGAACACCCTGAAATGCCCCAAGGTGAAAGAAAACTCTTTTTTGGAGGGTCATTTCAGGGTTATTTCATTTCAGATAAATAATTGCAGTGTGTGTTTACTTACACACTGTAAATAAACAGCATGGATGCAATAGGCAGTAGTTGAATAAATATTTCATATGACAGGGTTATCCCCTGCAAATCCAGAAAAAAAAAAAAAGAGGGAATAGAAGGAATATCAAAGAAGTTGTTTCAGAAGGCACAAAAAAAAAAGAAAAAAAATGTGAATGTGAAAAGATAGAGGAAAAAGTGAAAGAGATGAAAAAGGGAAAGAAGAAGAGACAGCAGAAAGGATATACTAGATAGAGTTAATGAAATGTCTTGGAAGCAGATCTACAAATGCTGGGTGAAAGAATAAAGAAAAAGAAGCAAAATCACAAAATGAAGGACCTAAGGCTAAGATTTCTGACTCTTCCCCAGAGCTCAATATTTGGAGTCTTGTTTGAGACCTGCCACCTCATCCCTGGGGTGAGGATCCCATTGCTATTCATGGAATCGGGTGATGTGATGTGAGTCATATTTAGAAACATGTATCTTGATGACTGTATAGTTAGAGTTGTCATCTACCTTCAGTTGTTCCTCAGTGTTTTTCTTCAGAGCCTCTTCAAATCGGTCTGCTTTGGCCTTAAGAGATTGATTCTGGAACGTGAGGGTGTCTATCTGGTCCTGGAGGGGAGACATACAGATTAATACACCAACTGTCTTATTAACCTTCATACAACTCAGTCTGCATTGTGAAACTACCAGGAAAGCTGAACAAGGCTTAGAAACCCCTGCAAAGCGGTATTTTTTTATGGAAGGACGCTTAAACGTACAATGGAGTGCTTGACAAGCCTCAGAGAATCACAAAATCCTTGCAACACCTGTGGTTGATGCTAAATCATCCCATCACCTTGTGCTGGATGAGAATGAATGTGTTCTTCCTTAGGAGAGCTGACATTTATATCATATGGATGACTGTGCAGTTCCTGAAGTCTGAATGAGGCAGTAGATACCCCACCCCTGCTTCCTTCACCTTTCTAGGCTTCAAACACGGTAACAAGAATGATAAATTTGTGGCGTGGACTTTAAATTATCGTCATTTCATCTCAGAGCTATACACCGGAAAAACATGTTATTGTAAGCAATCATATTCCTGTTACCATCAAAGGCATATCTGTACCCTTGTCTATACAACACCTGTAAAATCCACAGTTGCTGTGAAATTTGTGTTCTTATCTTTCACAGTAGTGATTTCTTGGCTGCAAAATTACATCAGCGCTTATTGCAAAACTGCTGACACACCTCAAGCTGTTGCAGCAGTGCAAAAATTCGTGCTAGTTAGAGGGTTTAAAACTGTAATTCATCTCTGCCTGTGAAACCAAATAGGACTTGCACTATTTGCTCTGGCATCTTTACTTGTTTACACAAGAATTCCAAACTTAGCATGTATCACAGTCATACTTCTGCCCTCCACTCCTTGGAATTTCTTCATCTTGAGAGCCTGATGTTAAACAGTGGGATGTAGGATATGTGATGTGCAGGGCTGACCCTGGCTGGCCACAGCCTAGCTGCACAGCAGGGCCAGCCTTGGGCAATCCGCATCAGGGACCACATTGCCCTCCAGTGGGCCTGGAGATGCGTCTACAGCATGGGACCGACTTTCCCACTTGCAGGCAGCAGGGAAGAGTTTAAAGCAAAGGCACGGGGCCAGCCAAGGAGAGGTCAGTGTTTCTGAGCCCTGGGGGTGCCTGCTGGAGAGTACCATGTAGACAAGGAGATGCTCGCAGCCACCACAGATGCCAGAGCCCAGCCTACCACTCAGGGAAGAGCTCAAATTTACCAGCAGTCAGCAGGGTCAAAAGGACATTCCTTGTTTTATCCAGATGCCCTTTTGTCCCTTTACGTTTGCCCTCTCTCCTGAACCACGCAAGGGGGAGGAAAAATCCTGAGGGTTTGCTGGTAGATCCCAGTTTGGACAGGCAGAGGACAAGAGGTGCTATAGCTGGTAAGAAGTAAGAGCCTGGTGTGCTGGCAGCCAGCGAAGGGACTGGGGCTGCCCATCAGCTGCTCTGCAACATCATCACAGGGGTGGGAAACAAAGAAACTGCTAACCTGGAGTGACAGCCGCAGTTTTTCGAAAGTCTCTTCTAGTTGTGCCTTTTCCAGTTTGTGAGCAGTATTCAGTTCTGGGGAAGTTGCACAGACATGATATTACTAAGTGAAGCCTGTCAAACCAGGGTCCGAGAGCACACAAATCTTGAGCCAAGTGCAATTCAGGATGCAGTTTTAGGACATGTAGGTGGAGTAGGAAACTGCTAGAAATATACTCTGTGAGTTGTTTTGAGGATCAGTTTTCCTCATCTCTCATTGGTTGCAGATACCTCTATTTTTATGTGACCATATTATGGTCATTCAGTGGTTTCAGAACTGCTCAAAAGTCCCAGCTCCCAGGTACTCTGAAAAGGATCAGTCTGACAATGGGTCATTTACCAATGCAGAGTGAGTATCCCCAGATCAAAGATTTTTAAATTAGATATATTTAAAATCTTGGCTTGCAATTTCTTTGGGAAGATAGAGAGGAGGGCCACGACCTCAGGTGCAAAAATGCAAATGATAGTGCTTCTCCCCAAGCCGTGGCAGATGAGCTTTGAGGTTTATTCCAGTAGTGAGACTGACAGAGAAGACAAAAAACATGATTAAATGTTTCTCTGCTAGAATACTCATCCTGGACTTACAAATAACCAGAAGTTTAATAAGCAAAGAGAAATAAAGTTTAATTTCTAAAGCAATGGCACCAAAATGTCATTCAGTGCAATAGAAGCATCTACCTTTTTAACCTACAGACACTCTATTAGTTGTGTTTTCACCCCCAAGCCCATGGGATTCTGCCCTCTAACCCCTGCCACAGTAACAGCAGCGATAATACCAGTGCTCCAGTGTGTTGCACAGCGCACTATCCCGCAGCTGCTGCAATGCCTTTTCCAGGCACAGGAGGGCATTTCATACCCGCACCAGGATCAGGGAGCACAAACTTTGGCCACCAGACCCTTGATAAACCACAACTAAATTTTATCATCGAAAAATACCAACAAAACCGGCCAGATAAGAATATCCTCAAGCAAGAAACAGCTTTTTACTTAATTATTTTCAAAATTACATATGTTAATTTACAGATGGCGTGTTAGACACCTTCTCTGCCTATGGGAGAGAGGAATAGACTGTTCTCAGTTCATGTTATGCTCTGGACTGTGTCTCTAATTGACACAATACATAGCTAAGCAATATGATCTGATTTGGAAAATGTGGGAAAACCTACTAGAGCTATTTAAAAAGTAGACCGTTAGGAAAAAGAAAAAAGAAAAAAAAAGAAAAAAAAAGAGGGAGATTGTACAGGTAGCTGTTAAATGTCAGCTAAAGCATTCACAAAGACATGTGTTTAGAGACTGAACTGGAAGGGAGGAAACAGCTCTGTCTGCAGCACCAGTCCTGTGTCAAAACTGTAACACAGAATAAAGATAACAATGCTGAGGTACAGATTTGCGTGAGTGTGTGGCTTTGGTCTGCTCAGCATGGCCAGACATTTGCTGCTGAAAATGATGAGTCTTGTTTTTAGAAGCAATGTGAGCATTTAAGCACCTAAATTCAGAGATATCCAATGAGCTCTAGCCTCATGAATACCCAAGGATTAGCCTCTTGAGAAAAGTATGTGTGTGAAGTGAGGTGGAATTTGGACTCTATTTTCAGCAACCTATGGAGAGTCTTATCTTTGACCCAGAGACCCCCCTCAGATAATCTCGGGTCAAAGTTAGATGCTGTACACACTGCAGACAGCTCTCCCTCTGCTCTAGCATGAACTTAGTGGTCCAACCCATGTGAAAGCACTAGACCAACACAAATTTTCTGTATCACCTGCTCTGGAGGAAGAAAATCCAGGCTTACACAGTGTCACTACAGCATTAATTCTTGCCCTGGAATAGCTGTGTAGCTGTTGGGTGGTCTCTGGCTTACCTTGAATCTTGCAGTCATTCTCATCCTGTAGTACCGTAATGGCAACTATGTGGTTATTTTCCAACTGTAACATTGCAGCTTCATGTACAGCTGTGATATCTTCCACCTGTTCCAACAACAGTGAGTGGAGACATGGACACATGATTAGACACACCGTGGCACACTGACAAGCCACTGCTAGAGAGCTCCAGTGAGCTGGAAACACTAAAGGGATCTACTGAGCATGACACTTCCAGTACCTGAGCCAGCTTTATTCATTACAAAACAGGCATGTTGATGCCTTGAGTGGTAGTGTGTAGTCACTGCTGATAGTATTTTTGCTCTTTTAGCTTAATGGTGATAAATATGTACATAAGAAAGCAAAAGGTCAAAAAGTCCTTAGGTGAAGACGGCATTTATTAAATATTCAGAAATCTCAACATTGCATTAATCTAAATTATATTAATGACCACACAACCCACAACCATCATGGGAGTGAGGAAGCCATCATGGGAGCAACTGGAAGAGGGCTGTGGGCAGCCTGTGTTCCAGTGCACCCAGTGGGTTTGTGATTCCTTCAGTATATTGTTTGCTAGTAGACTTGACTAAAGGTAGAGTGAGATCCCTAATGATGGTCCCTTGATATACATCATTAAAGAAAATACAATGAAAAGTGGTGATCAAGGTTAAGTCAGTGGTCCAGACCAGTTTCTGAATTCAATGCATTGATTTGTTTTTCTGGGGTTTGTAACCACAGTGGTCTTATTCCTTACATTTAACACCCTAGTATCTGTAATATCTGGCAAGGCAGAGGATCGTACTATTATATATTCCACTATATGGAATGAAATGGCTGTTCATTCCAAAGTGCCTTGACTCAAACCAGCTTTTTTTGTTCACAGTTATGTTAAATGATGGTAGAAAGTTACTGCAGCTGAGTTTGCCTTGACTGGAATAAATGTTATTTCACTGCTTTTAACAGTCAAACGTGTTAGGTAACCCAACAGAAGCAAAATTTCCAACCACATTGGAGAAAGCATGCTCTTAGAATGAAAGTTAGGTATTTAACATGGAATTTAAAATTATCCAAACTAATTTTCATAGTAATGTGGGAGATGACTCAGTGGTGAAGAACTGTTTGCAAAATAATTGGGACTCAGCCTGCTGATATATTGCATGAAAGAGCAAAGAAAGATGGGGGGTAGATGACTCAATAAGCTACTAATGGGACAGGAAGAACTATCACCTGACTTTTTCCAGAGCACCTTGTCCCTGAATATGATGTCTGTAGGCTGAAACCTCATGAGCACTGCCATGTTCTTTACCTCATCCTTACTTAAGTCTTTATTCATACTTTAATTGCCTCTCAGCTGAGCAGCACCCCATAGGAATGATTATGCTCAACTCCAACCCCTTCAGAAGGTGAAGGGGTCTCCTCTCACAGCCACCATCCTTGGCAGGTTATTTATCTATAAAGTCAATTAGATATGTCCTAAATGATCTGTAGGGATTTTTCTGTCTTCTGCATGTTTCATATCCACATCCCAAATGACTCTTTTTATCTTCCAGCGTGACCTCCTGTCTGCAATTTTTCATGGCAGATAGTCAACTTGGCACTGGAAAGCAGATCTCTTGGGTGCTAATTCCAATTTTGCCACTAAATTACTCTATAGGCATGATCAACACACTTAACACAAGTCATGTTTATTTCTGGCTATAAAAGGTACCTCAGGCGGGATTTTTAAGCCTTAATGAAGTGAAATCAAGAGAAAGTTCTAGTGGGCAAGCCAGACCACAGCCTTTATTCTGCAATTTTGCCCTTAGTTACAAGGAGATATGAGAATGCACTGGCATATATGATCGGTTTATGAGGAGTTTGGCTCCCATGTTCTGCTATCTCCTCAGAAACAGCTGAACCTCCCAAATCTGACAACTGTGTATCCAAAGAAACAACAGCTATCCAGTAGTGAACTAAGTGGTCACTACAGCAATACAGCATGGAAGATTAAGTTGTGACTAGAAACCATGAAAGTGGGATGACTATCTTCCAAATTAGATGCATGAATACAGAAATACATGCAGATCCATGGCCAAAAGGATTTTGTTACTGTTATTGCCTTCATGAACGCAAATTCAAATCCCCTCATGCAGATCGACAGCTCAAGGACAAGGCTTTTCTCATGTACAGAGTAAGAGTTACATTTCCTTGGCCAAGAAACATTGGTGAGCAGCTTTCCAACATGGCCTGTCAGCCTCCTCTGATCCAAGAGCACTCAACACAGGATGGGTTTACGGTGGAGTAGGAATTCAAAGGGAAATCCTGATAAAACTCATCACGGTAGCTGAATTATGAATTGAAAATATGGGGTAAAACTCTGATATACTAGAGTCACAGCAGCATTTTCAAAGCAGTGAAGAGGAATGTTTGTGTTATCTTCAGAAATCAAGGAACTCCCTCTGGAGCAAACCCACAGAGGGAAAGATGCATTTCCACTTCTTCTGTGTAATGATGTATGGAGTGAAAGTAGATGAAAATGAGAAAAATAAGCGTACTTCTAGTCAAGTTCTACAATGACTTGTATCACCCTTTCTTGCACTGATTAGCTTGAGAGGAGAAGAACCAAGATCTGTTCTTGTGGTCCTCTGAGCTTGCAGAAGCACTTCAAAGAGTAGCAGAGCTCAGCAAAAAATTAACTGTCAGAACAAATTCCTTCACAAATGCTGATGTCTGGTGTTCCAGGAGAGCCAAGCCTTGCAGCTAGAGCCCATATCTTCTACCAGGCAGACTGACACAGTGACACAGTGAAAGGAAAAAATTGTCAAGGCTTTTGGGAACATGACCCCTCTTTCATATCAGAAAGAAAAGTAGAAAATGTAGAGGCCTTGCAAGAAAACCAACTTGCATAAATGAAAATGAGGACCAAAAGACATGGATGAGCACATGTTCTAACCATTCACAAATGAATATTTTGAAAAATATGGTTTAGGACATGAAAACCTATTTGATAGCACCTTCTAATGCGTCTTTGAAAATCAATGTAGTAACAGAAACGGATAATTTGTCTGGGGCAAAACAGCCCAGTTGCTTCAAGCCTTTGTGTTGCATGTTACAAGCCTGTAAATCAATACCAACTAGCAGGTCCAGCAATTAAAAAAGTAAAATCCGGCAGGAGTCCTTCACACCCCTGCACTGAAGAATCAAACCAAACTGCACAGTGATACCAAGGGCAGCAGTCACTCTGTGTGTCTGTCCCACATGGCTGTCTGACCCAAGTGCCAGCAAGGACAGCTCCTATCCCAGAAGTGTCACAGTACATCAAATACAGGCAGTATTGTTGACCTTAAAGACTGCAGGCTGCCATCTCTGCTGTGCTGCATCTCTCCTCTCCTGTGAACTCAGTGCAGGCTAGCCCTTTTCTCTGGGCAAAATGCTGGCAAACAGGGGCCTTATTGGCTGGGCTTATGTTCCACAGACAAGTGGCCCTTGTGCTGCATCAGATACCCGGGTGGCATGCCCATGGCAGCGGGGGCTGTGGCATGTTAAAGCCTAAAGGCACAGATTACAGAGCGCATCTGAGTGCAACAGATACACATGTGAGAAAAGCCCTCATGACCTGGGGAGTTGGGTAGTGGATAAGAGTTGCAGCTGGAAAAATCAGAACTGCATCCAGTGCTTATTGGGGGTAAAATGAGAAAAGGCCGGGTAAAGGCATTATTGACATAATCCAGGACAGGATATTCTGCCACTATATGAGAGGCTCCCATAGGTGAGTTACAGTGTTGTTCACTTCAGCTGTTCAAAAATAAGACAAAAGTAGCTGCTTATGAGAGTATTCCTACCTAGATATAGAAAGCAAAGCAAGGAGAAACACTTGTGACATACACTCCAAGAGATTAGACTGGATGGTGAAGCAGAAATCAGGGGATCTGGAGTGCATCGTGTGCTTGATGTTTATGCTGCATGTGTTGCATGGGTGCTATCACTTCACTGTAGTGCTGTTTAACTAGCATTGGAAATAATAATGGGCATGGTTCTGCTGGCCTTACCTGTGTTGAGCAGGCTCTTGTTAAGCCTTGGTTTCATATAAATTGCCTAAAATAGGTAGATTGAGGAGCAAGTATGTGTGGGCAGCAGAGATACTCTTAATATTTTTACTGTGAAACATAGGGAAGCATGTGAAGACAAGACATAGCAATGTAATAGACTACTCTGTAGAAATAACAGCAGAACTAATAGTGAGAAACAGCAGTAAAGATAGTCATAAATACATTTTTCCAGTCATCAATTCATTACCAGTGCCTTCCTGTTGGAATGTTCAATATATATTTCATTACCTGAACCCTCCCAGTACTGGCATGGACTACTCTTCAAAGGCCACAGATGGAGACTGACCTGATCCTGATGCTGCAATTTGGCTTGCTCCAGCTGCAGCCTGTGCTGCTCCTGCAGGCTCTCCCTCTTAACACTGTACTCCTCCTGCAGCCGCTGCTCCAGTGCCTGCATCTCCTCCTCCTGCTGCCTGCGGAGCTGCTTCCCCTCCTCCTCGAAGCGCCTCTCCAGCTCCTCCTTCTCGCTCAGTAGTTTCTTCCATCTTGCTGTGTTGAGGGCTGTGGGGACAAGACCATGCAGTCAGACTCTGAACTCCTCTGGACCCAACAGTGCAATTGGACCTGTTAATACATCACTGAGCACGGTGGTTCTCACTGACTCCGGGACTTCCATGAATCCCTGCTGATTCTCCCTGTTCCGCTCTCTCACACACACATATACACATGCATTTGTTTCAATATAGGCACTGTCAGAGTATGCAAAAGCCTATGCAAAACTGGAATTGAAAAATAACAACAACAATAACTATAACATTAATAATAAATAAAACGGGGAATTCTGTGGACCTGCAGGGTGACTGATTGTCCCCTCCTGGCCAGCACAGTCTTGGATCCACAAACTGAGCCTTTGGGGATTTTACTTGGCCTTGGATATAAGAAACAGCATGTGAGACAATCACTTGACACAAAGCCTTTCAACTGGGATATAAGATTTTTCTTATTTTCTTCTCTCAAGACACAGTCTTGGCTAAGTTCCCACTTCCAGTGAAGGTAGAAGCTGCCTGGGCTCTTGAGGAGCACCCTGTGCACATGTTATGCAAGGAGTATGATTGATGACTTGACCAGGAGAGGGATTGCATCTCACACTTCCCATTTTCCAGCTGTTAGAAGGTGGTCACTGCATAAACCTGTCTTTCACACCACCTCCAGCAAGGACTACTCAAATCCATTAATGCACACTTGCTTAAAATACTTTTATACTCAAACCACTCTCTTGTGTGCTTAATGGAATCAGAGAGCACAAGTGAAAGGTTGATACTGAAGGAAATCCGAAAAGGTGAAATTTTTACTCTAGTGAACTAACCCAGTGATTATGTCCCAGAATTCACAACCATGTCTACAATTATTTTCCAACAGTTCCATCAAGTCAAGGATAATCAGTCCATTTCCTCATCTGGTTCCTCACCTATATTGTTCCCAGGATGCAAGGAAAGCCGTGTCACGAACACTCTGTTCTCAGCCTTTTGCTTTGCTAAAGAACAGTTGCAACAAATCCAGATGCTGAAGATGTGATGTAAGCTGGACAAGATCAGCCAGACAACATTTAGAGAGCAAATTTGTAAAGATCCAACAGGTAAGAAGTGATTAAAATCATCATGACCACAACATTCAGAATACTAGAGAAGGAGAGGTGGGTTTCTAGAGCTTCTTTCTTATTTAGACTCACAGCTGATTTAGAAAGATCATCAGCTTTTGAACAAACTGTCTGCATAGTTATCCTTCCTTTGCCTTTCAAAATGCACATGCCATGCGCAGACCTGTGTGGCATTGTAAACAGGAGGATTGGAAGCAGCTGTCTTCCTGCTGCATGCTTCAAAACCATATTTATCCTATGACCATATATTTGCTCAGTATCTGGCACCCTGCATGTTTTTCTGGCTCTTTCTACGATGGTGTCAGACTGTGCTCATTTTTTCCAGGATAGCAACAATTTGTCCAAATTACCACTGCTGCCCCCACAGTTCATGTTGAGTGCACCCATGCAAGGTAGTTTGGGCACCCGAACTAACCATTTCCTTTCCCACATAGCTATTTTTCACCCTGTTTAGAGCTCTGCTTCCACACTTACTGGACATCAATATCCAGATTTGCTCAGTATGTCCAGAACAGGATCCTGTTCTGATCCTGATGTTTTCTGGAGTACTGTGAGGAACTCTGTGTCCCTTTGAAGCTCTCTGCTCCTTACAGAAAGAGAGAGAACCAGTGAGCTTAGCACCTCAGTGGCAGCACATAGAAAGCTTTCCCACCTGCCTCATACTGAAAATGGAATGGCACAATTTGTGTTTTATATGGTCATTAGCTGGAATGTCATCTGCTTTTTTATTTTCTTTGGCATGTAAAGTGATCCCAGAGCAGGAGGGGTTATGCTTGCAGCTATGCCTTCAGTAGAATTCAAACTTCCTCAAGCTTTAAATTGGGGCTGTAATGAACTCCATCTCTCTCCATCCTCTCTGATGAGATTACCCAGCACATAGGAAGGACTAGGCAATGAAATAACATGCTCTAACCAAAAGAAAGTCCATCTGAAATACTTCCTGTAACCTGAAACACAAAACTATTCACAAATCAAACTCTGATGCAGCTGCAAAATGGAGGGAAGAGGAAAGCAGGGAAAGTATGCTCGCATGGCATGTTCCCCACACACCCAACAATGCCATTGGAGGCAGAAAATGGGGCCATTGCCCAGGAAATTTGCCTTATAGTGAATGTAAAATACCTCTAATGTGAAGGAATGAACCCTACTGTAAGTCTCAGACTAAGACAAATGAGGCCAATGACCGAAGGGGTGAGGAAAAACTGAACCTCTTCTTAGTGAGGAGATGGATCTTTGGGCCTGGTTCTACTGGAACAGGCACAGCAGAAAACAAAACCCATGCAGCCCAAGGCTCTGCAGCTCTCCTACCCTCCTAGGGAGCAGGAACCAGCATGGGAGAGCCCTCCCTGCTGGAGCTGGCATTGAATCTGCTGTGGCGTCAGTGTGTGGTTCTGGTGAAACAGCTGCATCGGCACCGGCAAGGACCCCAAAACAGATGCCTGAACAGAAGACTGGCTAATGTTACTGCAAAACAGTGAATTTCAGGCATCAGGATAGGGATACTGCAAAAGTGAGCCACTCTTGTAGAAAAAGAAAAAATCACTAAGAAAAGTAATATGAATCTGTTAATGACAGGGAACAAGACAAGGAGAGCAAAACTACAATTGGCTGCTATCATGAAGAGTTACACCCTGGTTGCCTCTTTCCTTCTCTCTGGGTATTTCCCTTGCTGCTTACAGGCTGGAAATGACTGACATAACGTGGCATTTCCTGGGATGGTAGTGTGCTGGGTTAAATGAGACTGACTACGGTTGCCTCTCTATTCCCTGAGCACCGAGCGGCTTTTACAGTGTGCAACAGATGAGCAAAACCCATTTCTGAATGGGCTGGGACAGTGAGGGAAACATAGATGTTACCACTGGATTGACACCCTGCCACACACACAGACTCTGAGCCACAACCCAACTTCCCATTCAGGAGGGTAAATCTTGATGGAACCAGGGGGTTGGTGTCTTGTGGCCCCACAGAGGGACTGTTTGCCCCCCTGAGAAAGGGGCTCTTTACCACTTAGACTCTTCTCTTCTTCCTGACCCTTGACCCCAGATTCACAGAGAAAATCCCAGCCACCACACTCAGGTTCCGGGTCCTCTGACTGGGAGGCATATCCAGGAGGAAATGACACACAGGCTTTGGTTTCCAAATTCTTGTGAATACAGATAATACAAATTTTAAACTTGACATCAGATTGTCTTGTCTTCATCTATTTTTTTAATGCATCTTTATACCTCCTCTCAACTCACTTCACATGCCATTGGTCTGCAGAAAAGAAGCAGGTAATTCTGACATTTAATTTCAATTAGCTTGAAGGGAAATAGCCCATCTTCAAAACCTCTTTATTTCAAGAGACTCAGTGTTGCAGTTGAAAAGTGCTTATATTTATAATTTATAAAGATCAGTGTCTTGACTGTAGAATGACTGCTTCTCATGTTTTTCTAGCCCTGCTATTTCTAGTAAAATACATGAGCAAATCTTATTGCTTAAAATAACAAATCCCTCAGTGTTTATAGAGGCCATATTCCTCCCCAGGACTGGGGAGGGAGACGCACTTTCCTATTTCACCCATGCTGGTTTCAGACGAGGTGTGATACACTCACAGCAGTGCTGGGGGTAAAAGTGGGCACTGTCTGAACCTAAATATTTTGCTTGGGTCCAGAAGGTGCAGGTCTCCCTAAGTTATTTTACACATGCTCTATCACTGCTATCGCTTCAACAATGCTTTTATTTGCCAAAAGAATTTTCCTTAAACTTAATTCTGACTTTTCTGAACAGTGTATTCTTTCTTGCACCTTCATTGCTTTGTATAGCAGAATCCTGCAGTTTCTGTTGAAGTTAACAAAGGCCATGTGCTTTCAAAACTAAGCATGTTCAGCGCCTAAATTGTAAGTCTGAATTACAGCTATTACCTAAATAACTAAATGTTGGACACACTGCCTGTATCAACCCTGGCTAATCCAGCCTTGTTTCACTGATTCATTAAGGTATTTGCATCAGTGAGTCTGACATGGTGAATTTACACATGAGAAATCAGGAATTTCTGACCAACACCCATGCTGTTTAACTGGACTGGTTATTTTTAAATTAATGAGTGACTACTTATCAAAGTGACTGGAACAACTCAGAATACAACTTGGTTCTATAACATGCTCTGTAGATTTTCCCTAAATTTCTTCAAAGAATCACCTATAATTCATCTGATAGTGAGAGCAAAATAACCCTCCTATAGCACAAGGGGGCTGCATGTCTCCAGTAGCACCCACAGCCCCAGCTTGAACTGCTTTAGAGATAGCAAAGAAATGCACTGACAAGAAAAGCTCTCATGCACTTGGCATTTGCCTTTCACCTTTTCCACAGATTTAAAACACTGGTTGTTTCACAAAACTTAATTTTATAATTTCATACCAAAGGAAAACAGACTGTCCAGCAATTTTTGACTTTCACTAAAAAATATAGACATTGATCTTCCATATTTATGGATACATACTAGGATTTGTACCGCTGATTTATTTTTTTGCATTGTGCTGAAGTGCAATACTGGCACATGTTCATTTTTTTGTTCATCACTACTGGGAGTCCTTCTACCTGGCTACGTTGCATCTCATGTTGCACCTGTTATAGAGAGAAGATTACCTTCACCGAGCAGATGACCAGACACCTGTGTCACTCCTAAACAGCCTCTGCTCAGCATCTTGGTGTCTCCCAGAGTGGTGGCTTGCTCAGGAAGAGCTGGCCTGTAATGGCTTCTCTCCATTACACATGCTTACAGGACCACTGAGGACAGGACTATTTCACACCACCTTTCCCCTTTCTGAGAAAGAAAGCCCATACCTGTCTACAGCTTATCTCCCTTCTGAAGCAGTACAGCTCAGCCTGCTCTTCTGGAGTATCTGGGGTTCGTACCAAAATTGTCTCCACATTTGCCATCGTGACCCAGTTCTGGGCACAGGAGGTGTCTATTACTGCATGTGCAAGGGCAATAGCAAGGGCAGGCAGTGCCATGATCTCCTGTTACTGAACATCCTACTCTGTGACCCCCAAACAGGCCAGCACTTACTTATATCCTTGGCAATGTTCTCCAGCAAAGCCATCAGGGATTTGTATTCGCTTCAGCTGTACAAACATGGTGTAAATGGAAGCAGAACTCTTCATCTCCAGCACTGAACCTTTCTTTCCTTCCCATGTCACTGCCACTTGAAAAAACACTCATGAAAATGAGCAAACCCACCCTGCTAGATTGAAGCAGGGCTTTCAAATGAGAAATGGATATTGAACTATATCAGATATGCCCTGCCTAAAGAATGTACCAACCAACCAAAGGTGGCTACAATTCCTCTTTGAGAGCTGTGGAGATCAGAGGATGGAGGAAGGCAGACATCAGGGAATAACTGCAAATGCTATTCTGCCATTCCTGCAGTATATGTTGGCCATGGGGACAATAAAGCTCACCATGAAATGAAAATCAGCCAAATAATTTTGGAGGGGCATATCAGGGAACACAAGTTGATGGGATTCAGAAAAGGGCTTTGCTCAGCTTTTCTGAAGTGGGTTGTCTTAGGCAGGGTGAAGACGAAGCACAGGAAGAATCTGCAGTTCTGCCCATCTCACAGGGGTTTGGCCTGAGCCTTCCTTTGCCAGCCAAGTCACCCTCTGTCCACTTGGCACAATCTGTGTTTACTGTATGACCCAGCAACTGGGCTCCCACATGAAGGGAAAGCTAACAAGTCCCCCCGTTCATAACTCCAGTCATTTCTGGTTTCAACACCTTTCGGTACCCAGGGTGTCCCCTGCCCCAGTGGTCTTCCTCTCCATTTGCCCTGGAGCAGATGAACCCTACATCATACTCATTCTGGGGAGATTCAAGCCCAAAAGAACTCAGACTGTTGACTGAAGCCAGAGCAAAAGCCCACCTTCTCTCTCAGGAGTTGCAATATCTTTACACTCTCCCTGTCTCCCCTGTCTAGATCAGAAACCAAAAGGAAAAGTGATGTATGCAGATACCCAGGGAATACACAGATCAAATGGGATGCATTGCTCTTCCTGTCTCCACCAGGAAGAGAACTTAGAGATATTAATAAGCAAGTTTGGAGTTTGGTGTCCTTCAGTCTGTATCTGAACTGCAAACCATGCAAATGTTCATAATTAAGTGATGCATTCCTAGTCACCATGCACTGCAACAGTCTCAAGTTCCCACTTTTCATCATTATGCTTTGTCCTTGGCAGTGGTAATGTTTGAGAATGGAAGCTATGGATTTATGAAGAACAATTTCTCTAGTAAAGATGATGCACAACTAGCTCCAGCATGTGTGGTGATGGTCCCATCTCCACAGCAAAGAGGTAAAATCACAGTTCCCTGCAAAGCCACAAAACCCCTGGCCAGTAGGCTTCAGAAGACACTTCATCACATGCATGCAGGTTCTCCAGGATCAGGTCACAAACAATAATAACTGATTTTGTGTAAAGTGAGAAAATCACTTCGTTGTTACTTTTCTTGTACTACTTACCAACTTCATCCCTGATCTTTGCAAGCTCGACTCCTAACTCCTTTATTTTCACAAGGGCATTTTCATTCTGTTTAAGGAAAAAGAGAGAGAAGTATGTATAGTCCCCAGTTTTATCCCAGATAAGCACTTTCACGTGTTTATTTAGTAAAGCAGATTAGATTGATTCCTCAGATTTGTTCTAGGGGAGAGGAGTGGGATTATAATTAATTCATTCAGTTTTTAAATCATGCTTAGGAACCACGACTCACTGGCTAGAAATACCCTGTATGTCTGTGAATACATGTACACACACTCACGTGCACATGACAGCACAAAATACTCTGTTTGTTCCTATGTGTCTAAAAAGACATTTTTTTTTAATATCATATTTTGGTCAACCTGTGTACCATTTATGGCTGGACTGCATGTACAATATTGATTTATTAATTCTGTTAAAAGACTTTAATCTATTTATGTCTGCATTTAACCACCTCCAAACATAATAATATGCTCACACAGTCAAATTTGCAGAGCAGATAGTTGTACTCACACCGTTCTAGACATGGTGAGCATACCCATACAGACACCACTAATAACCTGAAGTTCACGACTATTTCCACGTTTATTCCTGTGATTTCATTACCTGTAAAGAACAAGAGCTCCTTTCCTTGACTAGTCTCAAAACAAATCCAAATACTTAAGGAAGTAAAGTGCATGAATTGGCTAAAGGAAAATAAAAATATATGTACATTAGCAATGTTAAGGTGTTACTAATAAAATGAAAGGACTTTGACAGAAGATATCTGATGAGTGCTGTACAAACTGACAAAGAAAGTTCTTAGGAAAACTCCATTGGAGTTTGATTTTCTACAATAAATCCCAGCATAATGGTTCAATCATACGGGCACTTTAAATTGAGAAGTATCCTGAATCATATTAGGAAGAAGATAAAAGATGGTATCCTGCTGGGAAGTTCACTATTAGGAAAACTAGATCAGACTACTATAAATATGTTCCAGGTTAGAAAAGGTCAAGAATCCAAAAAGTACACTACAGAAAAGTTATATTCAAAAGAAAGGGCAGTGCAGTAGTAAATTGAATTACAAGGAGTCCTAGAGACAAAATCTTTCAGTAATAAGCAAGCAAGGCTAACAAAAATCTAGGACACAAAAAGGATTAGTTTGGCAGCAGGATACATAGCAGATAGGATAGCAAATTAGTTCTATATTACAAAAATGAAAGTGGAAAAAATATTTCAGATCTTAATCTTTCTGTTTATTTTTCCTACACCTAATTTTTAACTCCATTAAGAGAACTAACACAGCTTTATTTCTGGTACTACCAGAATAGTGGAATGTGGAATTTATATTAATCCTTTACTACTGCCGTCTTGGGAGGATTTCCACCAGATCCAAGGGACACACTTTCCAGAAAGTTTGCTGTAAACAGAGTGAGAAACTGAGCTGATTTGAGAGCCTTGAGAGCCTGAGGAGACCCAGATGATGTGGGCATCTTTCTTACTCAGTTATGGGAAGATACCAGGAGTGCAAGGCTTGGTTCCTCCAGTCAGCTCCATACCCTGCTGAGTAATGCACATGGGGCTGTGTGCCAGGACTGCAGAGTGTCCAGTCCCAACCAACTGCATTAGGCTCAGAATAAAATGATGTGCATTTTTTTGTGGGTTTTTTTTTTTTTTTCTAATTAGTAAAAAAGTTATGAAAAAAACAATTAAAAGGTCCAGATAAATACAGCCTTGTATGTTCAAAAACCAGATCCCCTCATACATATTCCCAAATCAGCAGCCTTACAGAGATAAGGTTTCCCCTTTTGGAGAATACCACTGCATCTGCACACACTGTCTGTTTAACTCACGGGAGTAATTTTAAGAAGTGTTCTTGACAGATTGCCAGGACTTGGTGCCCTTGAAGGTGTCTGCACAGGGATATAGTGGGTACAGGACTTGCAGATGGGGAGCACCCACTCAAATTACCAGGCTCCCACTATTTGAAACAAAAGCCATTTAAGCAAGAAAGCTCTGCACAAACCATTGCCAGAATCTACAGATAAGCAGAATTCAGTGGGATTGTTACTATTCTATTTACATGAAGAAAATTAAAAGCAATTAAAAAACCCACATCCTAGGGAAAAAAAGGGGTTTTGGAATTTTGATCCCCCATTAGAAATATTACATTATGTTTTATCTCAGGTAAGGTTTGTCCTACCCTTGAGGACACTTGGTGGTGGGACCCTCGGTGGTGGGACCCTCTCCAAAAATGTAGAGAATTGCCATGGTGTCAGCTTAAAAATGCTATCCCATAACTCAAGGTCCAGCATGGACACCAATCTACCAGGACAGTGGGCCTCAAGTCTGCCTCCCACCATCCTGGGGCCATGGTTTCCAGAGCAGCCCCTGGGGCTGTCTCAAGCAGCTGATATTGACACAACTCAGGTGCCTTTGCTGTCATTTGACTGCCTTGCCAATACTTTTTGCATTGTATTTTATATTGGTTAGTGTCCTGTTTGCTCTTTGGGACTTCATATTTATATTTCCTGGGAGGTTATACATGCAAAGGTTGGTCTCAGTGCCAAGGCATCAAGTAGTCCCTCTTTCTCAGAGCGTTCTTCTAGAGAGCAACAGTACATGAGTCCTTATCTTCCTCTTCTGCAAGAGAAGCAAGGTGCAGTTTTGGCTAATCATTGTATCGGCCTCCTGGGTTCCTGGATGCACAGTGAATTTACAAAAATCCCTGACATCTTCTGTTACAGCAACCTGCTTTGTTAGTCTGACATGATAGGTTTGAACCGCACGTGTTCCTGCAGCAGTCTAAACACGACAGTAATGCAAACCGAAAAAGCCCCCACTTGTTATCATCGATGTGGCTCTGCAGATAACCAGCACTTCACTGTCAGTGCAACCAGGGAACTGGGAATGCCAGTGCTAAGGAAACTAAACATTACAGTAGAGCAAAACTGGATCAGACTTTGGAATGTAAAGCTATCAGAGATAGCTGAGATTCATATATATCCAATGTCAAAACAACAAAGCAATTTGAAAATTCATAAGCACACAAGGAAAACTTTCCTGAAACAAATGTATAAGAAACCAAATTAACAGGACATCCCATTGGGTTTATCAGTCTTCATTACTATTTATCTCAACAAAACATTTGAAAGAGAAGACAAGGTAAGCAGCTGCCCTCCCAATAGTTTTGTGTCTGACAGGCTCAGCATACCAAAGGAGGTTTGTAGAGGTCCTGTACTAGGCCACCAGTTGGAGTTGAGCTACTAAGAGTTAGCAGCTAAGGGCCAAATCCAACTTAGGTTTAAAAAGGTTCAGCGACCATACTAGCGACACAGCTGTTTCAAGTAGGTGAAAAGGTCAGAGACACTGTAAGGAGATTGTGCAAATATCCAGCATTTTACTGCTGCAGTTAAATGGAAAGGGAGAAAAAAAAATCCCTTTGATGTGATCTGGAATTCATTTTTTTCTGGCCAAATTGTGAAACCGAAACAGTGGGTCTTGTATGAATTAAAATGTCGCACTTATTTTTCATGTACTTTTAATGAATGATGGGTTTCAGTACTTCTTGGAAAAATGATGACAAAGGTCTTCTGTTGCTGCATCCCAAGAAATTACTCTGATGTTGAAGTAATTTTCATAAAATAAAATTACACTCATGACAACGATGAAGAAAACCTTCTTCCTCATTCCAGAACTCTCCAATATAACGGTTGAGTCTTGCATCTGGAATGTGCCCCATCTCCTCAGACAGAAAGAAAAATAGAATGGAATAGGTAGAATGATATGTTTGCTCTGTGTTTAAGCTACTGTCTGTTGAACAGAAGATGCAGTAGCAACTCTTTTTCATATGATCAGCTTTATAACACAGACTTCCCAATATTTCTCCTGTGAAAGGCTTGATGTCAGACTGCATTTCAGTAAGTGAAACAGACACTGAAAATGGCACTTGTGTATTCTCCGTTCAACTCAAAACACCCTGAGGATAGACTGAGGCATGACTTATATTGGTGCAATTTCCAAGCAGCTCCAGAAAACCTGGCATGTAGTCAGGCAGGTAGCCAGAGACATAGGAAGGAAACATGAATTAATCCAATTAAATAACACTGGTCAAAAGTTAACAGTGTATTAAGAAAATAAATCAGCAGAATTTAGATATAACTGCATGTGAGGACCTAGAAAAATAACTTGGCAAGAATACGAGTCAGAGGATGGGTAAGATGCTGGTGTTGTCCAAACAGACTAAGAAGAGAAGTAGTGATGAAGGCTTGGGGGCAGAGGCTGGATATCTGAAGATGTCTCTGCTCTAGATGATCTTCAAGGGTCTCTTCCAACCCAAAGGTCTCTTCCCAAACTATACAATGATTAAGTGATTCTATGAAAGGCTCTGCTTCAGTTGTACAGTTTCAGCTGACAGGCAAGATATCCTTGAGGAGGCATCATCAGGGAGACAGGTCAAGATTTTACTTTGGACCAGGAATAATTGTGGGGTGGGGACATATGCCTTAGAGTCTCCTCTGAGAACTACAAACTACCTGAGAAATACTAATTAATTAGAAATGCTAATTAATTAAACCTCCAGGTGCTTTTTAAAAATAGGTAAGTAATAGTAGATCCATTGTAGAAATGGAAAGGCTCTGCTTCAGTTGCACAGTTTCAG